TCCATCTTCTCAGTACTCACGGAACCGCATGGTCCATGGCTGCCTCTTTCCCAGAACTGTCATTCTAACTACACCCTTCACTCTCTCTCCTAACTGGGAGGCACAGAGCGAATGCAGTAAGATTAAAAGGGCTCTGAAGCCACACCCTTCCCCACACCCTTCTCCTGTCACTGGAAAGATCGCTTTATGTGATCACATGTTCAGGAAACATGGCTTATCTTGAGTCCTGGAGCTGTGTGAAATACCCATGTCTGGGTGTGGCACTTTGCATTCTATATCGTGTGTAGTGCGTGGTCATTCAAATTGTCACATGTGACCATCAGAACAGCCCTACATTGTCATCCTATGGAAAACTGCTCAGAACAGGCGTGAGGTCATTAAGCTAAGGCTAGATAGGAACACACACACACACACACACACACACACACACACACACACACACACACACACACACGCGCGCGAAACCGGGTAAGAGATGGTCCTGATCACTGTCCATCCCTTGGCTCTATCCATATGCCCCTGGAACTCTACCTGACTAACACAAGGCTAGTGTGACTGCAAATTCAGTAGTAAAGCTTCACTTTAAGTCACATTAATCTTTAATGGACCTTTGTGGACCACACTGGACAGCACAGTTCTTAAGGCCTAAGCAGGGAAGGGACTTAGGAGTGCAGGCAGGTGGCCAGGTGTGGTTTTCCATTGCAGTGCCCTGGCGCATGGCATTCTTGGCCATTCAAGTGTCCCCGGTGTCTGAGGCAGTCACCAAAAGCAAGACTCAAGGACAGTTCCCCAGCCCTTTGTGCCCTGTGTCAGCAGGTCAGGGCTATCTCTTGTTTGAAAAGTGTCTTCACTAGTGCTAGAATGAAATGCATACTAATCAGGCTTAAAGCACGATGCTCTGAACACAGGGAAGCACGTCGTGGACAGGGAATGGGCCCACCTGGGAAAGTCGGGCATTGAAAGGCCGTAAGAGGTGTGTTTGGGGTACAACGTGAAGGTAACTGCTTATACATCATGTAAATGCTTTTGAAATTGCCTCTACGGCTTGGTTTGGTTTTGGCTGTCCTGGAACTCACTGTGTAGACCGGGCTAGACTCCAACTCAAAGAGATGCTCCTGCCTCTGCCTTCTGAGCTGGGACTAACGGTGTGCCGCCACTCACTGAACTAGCTGGCTTTTTGCATCGCCTCCCTCCCCTACTCGTTCACTCCACATACCAGTACTTGTGTTTACCCGTCTCCTTCATGTGTTGTTCTTTCATTCACGCAGGCACGCCGTATTTCCGTTTACAGTCATAGAAACCATGGGAATAGCAAAGATGAGCAGGTGGTCTTTGGTTTAGGTCTGTTTTCTGGTGGCAGAGAGCATCTAGATGCTGGGTTCTAGCTCCAGACCACGCATTTGGGTCTTGGGTTTTAATCAAGAAGATACCTGTTACAAGAAGAAGGACGTAGGCCGGGGTTAAAGAACATGCTTAGATTTCCTCGGCGGCTCCCTCCAGACACCCCGAGTCCGTGCCTCCCTGCTTTCGCTGAGGAGTCTCCCTCACAGCTAGTCCCCTCACTGGAGAACGCGAAGGTGCCATTACCATCAGGTCCAGCATTCTATGAGCCCTGTCTTTTCCGGTTCCGATAGATTTGGTGATAAACCCGGGTTGGGGCTTGAACAGGAGAGCCAGGGGCTGCTGGTCCTGATGGCTTGGCCCCACCTGCTGCTGCCTCCCTGTCTGTCTGTCTGTCTCCCTGGGGGCTGCTAGGATGTAAACTCCCAGCCCAGGGAGCCCTCCTGAGAGTTGGCTTTGCCCACTGGCAAGTGGTTGCCTTCGCATCCTTTTCTCCCTCCTCCTCCCTGGCTGGCCGGCTGCCACATGGCTACGCTGCTCGTGCTGGTGGAAGGAGTAACCCTTCGGGACCAGAAACCCTCCGAAATGCACGGCATTGGTCTCACATGTGCACACGCACAGTCCTTTGCTGGGGTCACATGCAGTTGCTCTTGGGAGTAAATTAATCGCATTGTGTGGGTCACGGATTTCCTAAGTGAAATTGTCAAAAGAATGTTCAACTCTGTCACTGTGCAGTAATTATCCAGGCAACAACTCCGTGGCCCTGCCTTCCAAACAAGGGCCCCTTTCTCGTAGGGTTAACATCCGGAGGATGTGCTGGACAAGTTATAATTACTTCTTCATGTTCTTGGTAATCAAGTGACCTTTGAGCTGCTCTCAGTAAGAGAAATGCCTTAGATTTGTAGACTTGGAGGCAGCCAGTGTAGGAGAGGCGGCCACACATGAATCCCACATGGGGCAGCGAGACTTTGGGGCGTGTCCCTAGTCCCAGGGGTTTGTCCTGTGTTTGGACTCACTGCTCTGGGAGGGCGGGACACACAGACGCGCCGTGCTGTGCAGAGACTCCGGATGCCTACAGCTTGTTCCCATGACTTCACCCAGAGCTGACACCCAGTGGCTTCATGCTGCATGGTGGGAGGATCGCTAATTCCCACCCAGTGTTCTCTCCACACTCAGAATCCAGTGGTGTGTGTGTGTGTGTGTGTGTGTGAGAGAGAGAGAGAGAGAGAGAGAGAGAGAGAGCACTCTGAAACAAGCAGGTACAGCCGTTGTTTCCCCCATAAAAAGGCCGGGCGGCGGGTGTGGGTGTAGGGGCCACCCCTGTGATTGGGAAGGGGAGGGGGAGGGACATAAACCCCCCCAAAAAAGGAGGGGAGTGAATGTTGTCCCCCCCCCTCCCCCGCGTTTTGTTGTTGGGGGGGGGCGCTGTTCCCCCGGGGGTAACTCGTGCTTTTTGTTACCCGCCCCCCCCCCCCCACCCACCAACCCCCTTTAAATTAAAAAAATAATTTTTTTCTTTAACAACCCTCCCCCGCGCGCCCCCACCGGCAACCCACCTAAATTTTTAGTCCCCTAAAAAAATAAAAATAATTTTTGTGTGGGGGGGGGGGGGGTGGCTTTTTTCTAAAAACCCACAACCCCCCCTTTAGGAAAATTTTTTTTTTGTGGTGTTCTCCTTGTTTTTTATGAACGGGGCGGCGGAGAGGGGATTTTTCCCCCTGAGCCGAGCCCCATGTTGAAAGGGACCCCGAGGGGAAGGCCTTCCCCCCTACCTTACTTTAGGGGGCGTTCCCCTCATCATATTTTTTGTAGGGGCTGGGGCAGAAATGGGTACAAGGCATTCATCATCACCTTTGGCCATCGACCAGTTCTAGCAAGAAAGGCACGTCAGCTAACGGTAACTGGGCCGCTTTGTTCTTGTTCCCTGACCTTCAAGAGTTCCTCGCTTGACTGTGTCTTTCTAAAACTGCAGACTGTCTCCTTGGGTTTTCACCTGAAGAGGGGGGGGGGGGCGGCTTTATTCCACAAAGCCCCTTTCTCTCACTTTTTTTTTTTCGGGCTTCTTCCCCGGGGGGCGCCCCCCAACCCCTGGCCACCCCCCCCCCCAATTTAGGGTTAAGGGGTTTAGGCGGGGGGGGCCCCCGGGCCCCGGTGGTTTTTTTTCCCCTTAACCTAAGCCACGGTCTGTATGGCTCAATAGAAACTCGCTTCCTTTTTTATATTTTTAATCATCAAAGCCATTTAAAGTTATCATTTACACAGTGCAGCTTAGGAAGAAATCACCTTCATAATCATAGGTAAAACTAGAAATGGACCGTTAGGTAAACAGACCGCCTTACAGGGACTCCCCACACCCACTCACACCGCGCCAGATACCAGAGAAAGACGGCACAGCAGAAGCAAAAGACGTCCCTGGGTCTGTGGTCTGGGGGGGGGGGGCTCGCCTGTCCGAAATTCACCCATCAGGGAGTTTCCTCCAGGTGCCTGACACCTGCTGCTCCTCTGACAGGGCCACAGGCAAAGCAGGACTTAGCACTGGCGCACTGGCAAGGATTGCTGGGGAGGAGCCTGGGTCTGCGTCAGGTGTGGGAGTCCTCCCCAGAGGCCCCTGGAAAGTCATCTGAAGGAGAAACATGGGCGCTGAGTCAATAGGTTGGAAGAACAGTCGGGCGTAGAGTTGAAATCACGGCACGGAGAGCAAGATGGAGGAGGAGAGGACAGGAAAGGAAGGCGGCTCCTTGTGGCGCCCCAAAGGACACAGACATCTTGGGAGCGGCCTGGGCAGCAAGGGGAAGTTAGCAGGGGTCTCGCCAGGGTCTCGGCGGCGGGTGGGAGGGAGGTGTTAGGGTGAGCACTGGTTCCATTTGGAGAGGAGAGGATGCATGGTAGTCATAGCAGCGGAGGAAGAGCAGAGCCGCCCAGGGAAGCAGAAGTACCAGCAGCAGGCACCCGTCCACGGGCACAGCGTCCCTGCCTGCCTGGTGCTGAAAGCTGGGGCAGCACCCGTCCACGGGCACAGCCACTCCTGGACTGATGAGGCCTGTGCTTTGCCCCCTCCCCACCTCCACTCCGGCTCCCGGCAGATCTCTGCTGAGCCACAGACAGAGGCAGCCATTAGAGAAGGTGTCACAGGTCTCTGCTGGAGCATCAGGGGCCCCCATCTCCTCCAGGAATGGCTGTTCTCGGCCACACCGCTCCTTCCCAGGGGCTTTCTGCGTGGTTCACTGATTCTGGCTAAGGACTCTTGGGGACAGAAGCCCTGATGGCGGAGTGGTGTCTCGCCCTCGGCCAGTGAGGGCCAGTGTCTCTTAGTCCCACGGATGGAGTGAGTTCAGAAGCCAGCAAGTGCTGGTGCAGTGAACTTTCTGCTGGCCGATCTCACAGCCCCGTGTGTAGAAGGCGAACAGAACCACCGAGGTTCTCCTGTGCACGCAGTGCAATCCTTCTGTTGGTGTGGCTCTTGAGACAGGACTTGCCTCCTGGAATTCTCAACCCTACCACAGCCTCCCAAGTGCTGGTCTCGTGCCCGGATACTCTGTGTGTTTGTTCCCGGGAAAAGCATGTAGGGATCCCTGGACAGGGGTCCAGATGGGTGATGGGAAGGAAGATGTCAAGTGGGTGTTTGATTGCTGACACCGTCTCTACCCTTGCTGCCCCAGGGAAGGCCGCTCAAATGCCCACATCAGGGGAGACTACCAAAGAATCGGGGACGTCCTGCTGAAGAACATACAGGGGATGAAGGTGAGTGGTTGGGGCGGGGGGCGTGGCCGCCTCTGTGGGCGTGGCCCCAGATCTGTGGGGCGTGGCCTCTTCTGTGGGCATGGCCCATCTGTGAGGATGGCTGCCTCTGTGGGCGTGGCCTCTTCTGTGGGCGTGGCCCCAGATCTGTGGGGATGGCTGCCTCTGTGGGCGTGGCCTCTTCTGTGGGCGTGGCTGCCTCTGTGAGCATGGCCCATCTGTGAGGATGGCTGCCTCTGTGGGCGTGGCCCCTTCTGTGGGCGTGACCTTCGACCTGCACAGAGCATCAAGGATGATCATGTTGTCCAACCACCGTCTACATCCTAAGGAATGTTACTGGAGAAAGCACAACAGCTTTCTGGGTCAAAAGCTCAGCACTGTAAACAAGCAGTGGGTATTTATACATAGGTCCTTCGTGACCTTAAAAATGTGCCCAAATTCTGAACCCCAAAATCACCAAGACACCCATTCTGATGCAAAAGCAAAGCGTGGTTTATTGTTTAACGAGTTAACTGTTTTAACTCAGGGACCCCTCATTCATTCAACATGGCAGGTGGGATGAGAAGGGCCCGGGGAACCGTGAGGCAGGGAATTTATTGGGGTGTACAAGGGGAGTGTCTAGGGTCTGCAACAGCCTCGGGATTGGTGCTCTTCAGGGCTTGGGCAACCTGTCCTGCACTGATTGGTCAACTGGTTGTTCTGGCCCATAGGCCCTCCCGGGGCAGTTGCTATGCTCTGAAGGTCACTGTTACACCCCTTTTCCCATAAAGCATGTCCAGAGCCTGCCAGCTGACTTCTGATTGGTTCCTTGCCATGTGGAGGGAATCTGACCTCCTAGTCAGGCAAGGTCAGGAAGCTCACACAGCACATTTCAGAGTCAGGGGTGTATGTCATGCTGGGTCTTTGCTGCAGCCTGTCATGGCTGCTAAATCAGGGGGCTGGGTGAGGGTCTGGGCCCTTCAGAAGTCAGTGCTCACAAAACTGCACATTTTGCTCTCAGTCCACTGTTTTGGCTTCCTTGTATGTGACAAAGCCCTAGGTGCCAAACTATCTGGGCATTCCAGTAAATTCTGTGTCTTTAAATCCATCTGAGGCAAGAACTATTTTAAACAGTATCTACAGTGAATGTATGTACCCGAGAGCTAAGGAGCATTAGCCCCAAATCCCCTCCTACAAATGCCGGAGATTGCAGTTCATTTGGACACATTTAGCAGAGCCTGTGATATGGAAGGATGATTCACACTGCTCGTCTGCTGAACGCATCTGTGTTTTGCATTTTTAAGAGGTCTTGTTCAGTCTGAGCTGCTGGGGCATGTTCATAACCTCAGGACCCAGTAACTCTCCCAGAAAAAGAATGATCCCTAAGAAGGCAGCCGCTCATGCTGCCATCATGATGGTATGTCCAGCCAGCGGCTAGTCCGACCAACCCTCACTCCATGGTAAATGAGAACCTACTACATGGGAGGGCCCTCACAGAACTGGGGCTCCTGTGTGGTTTGGATTCATTCCCATTGTCTATTTGGCTAGCTTGCTGTGTTAGGATGAAGAGCTACTCAAGACTTTTCTTATCAGCCTCTTGCTCGCTCGCTCTCTCTCTCTCTCTCTCTCTCTCTGTGTGTGTGTGTGTGTGTATAGAGGGGAGGTATGTATGGAGTGTGTATGTGTTATGTGTGGTGTATGTGTATGGTACATGTGGACATGTGTATGTGGTTTCAGTTTGTGTGTTGCTGGGAGATTGAGCCTAGGGCCCCATAGATAACAAGCAAACATGGTCAGCCATGTCTCCAGCTCTCCCTAGGTTTTTTCTTGTTTTGTTCTGTTTTTTAAAGACAGTATTTCCTGTGTAACAGACTCTGGCTGTCCTGGAACTCACTCTGTGATCCTCCTGCCTCTGCCTCCCGAGTACTGGGATTAAAGGCGTGCCACCGCCTAGCACTCCCAAGTTTCTTAACCAAGACCAGGATGTAACTTACTCGGTCCTGAGCATCCTTCACTGTCCAGCGTGTCCTAGCTCACCGTGCTGCAGTGAGGGAGATTGTGGAGTTAGGTGCAAATCAGCAAAGCAAGACTACTAGCCTGGCAGGCCCACAGCCGCGTCTTAGTCTGTGAGGCGGATGCACAGAACGTGAGGTTGTACCATTAGACACCTCTGGGAGTCTTTTAAAAATACATTTTGAGTTTTCAGTGCGATTTTAACTTTTCCCTCCCACACACCCCACACTCATGGTTTCCACCAATCTTATCACTTTTCACGTTAAAATACAGGTAAGGTTGATGACCCAGAATTGCTGTATTGTCACCGTGTACACCCTTCAGTCCCTCCTGGGCTTGCTCTTGGTATGGTGACGAGCACCCACATGACAGTATCATACAGGTCCATTTTAAGCAATGCCTTTAACAAAAAACAACCATGGAGCTGGGCCTGGTGGCGCAGGCCTGGGATCCCAGCTGTTCAGAAGGCTGAGGCAGGAAATCCTCAAGTTCAAGCCCCCTGCCGCCCTGCTCACCACGCCCACAACGGTCTCGCCACCTTGGTAGTTTATCGTTGTCCTCTGGATGCCTGCGGTCGGAATGGCCCAGACACAGCCTGGTCTAGCTGGCTGCTTGGGCTTCTCATTGCTCCATGATGTTACTTGGTTACCACGGCGCGTCCCGGTACTGCCGAGTCCTAAGATGTCTCTTCTCGCGCTGCATGCTTCCCCGCAACCCATTCTAGTTCCCACTTTCCTGACAAATCAAATCAAACTCTCCTTGTTTGGGAGCATAACCTCAGGAGGGGTGGGAGTTGTCTGACCCCCCCACCCCCACGCAGAGACATCTCCTTGACTGTTGTTCGCAGCCACCATGTGGCCTTCTCGTGCCCGATTGCCAGGTGCCCCCACCCTCTTCCCACCAGAAGCCACTATTCCGCCTTCCTCCGTTAACCAGCCTGGGAGACCTAAAAATACCCCATTGCCTGTGCTGAGCGGGGCGTGTCTCCTCTTTCTGCGGGCTGGCGTTCTGTGCTCCTCGGGTTCTGTGGCGTTTCAGGGACTTGCCAGCAATACCACGGGGGGTTTACAGCATGCGGCTCTTTGGAAGCAAACTAAAAATAGACCAGGGAGGGCACTGGCGGCCTTTCTGAGGAGCTGAGTTACAGCTCACATTCCGTCTGCTTGGTCACTTTGTTCCGCCGTGGGCTTTATTACAAAGTGTGGAGGGAAGCGGCAGGCGGCGTCTAGAAATGCAGCGATTCCTGCGCCACCTCCCCCCAACCAGGCACTAAGTGAACTGCATTTGAGCATCGCCTAGCCTAGCAGTCGCACGGGAAACACACGCCCAGATGGCATCCGTCACACGCGCCCTCGCTGTGTGTGCTGCCGTGCACGGCGCCGTCCCTGTCCTCATAACATGACCATCTGAAAACAGTGAACCACAATAAAGTGAGGGGCACAAGGGTTTTCTGTGTCTCCGAAGTCACACCGGTGTGAACGAGCTGACCGGGGCCGCCCCTCCCTTCCTCCCTCAGCACCTGGCAGCCCACCTGTGGAAACACAGTGAGGCCTTGGAGGCACTGGAGAACTCCATCAGGGGCTCCCGGCGGCTGGAGCACTTCTGCCGGGACTTCGAGCTGCAGAAGGTGTGTTACCTGCCACTCAACACCTTCCTCCTGCGCCCTCTGCACCGGCTCATGCACTACAAGCAGGTCCTGGAGCGGCTGTGCAAGCACCACCCTCCTAGCCACGCTGACTTCAGGGACTGCCGAGGTAAGGATCCGTGCACATGCCCGACGACCCACAGGCGTCCGCAGGCTGCGCACTCTGGGAGGGCTCTCTGGACCATCTGCTGTGGTAGCATGCCAGTTTCCCGTCGTGTGATGGTTACATCTTCATCTTCCGACGGGAACGTGATGTTGCTAGTTGGGCTATCTTTTCTTCCCTGCTTGTACACACACACCCTCTCCTTTGAGCCCAGGTGGTCAGGCAGACATGGCGCTGCTGGCTGCAGCTTGGTCAGAAGGGAACGAGAAATAGACTGACACATTGGGAGGTGTCTTGAGTGTATATGAGACCCCAAAGCCCACCCCCACAGTGACACACTTCCTCCAACAAGGCCACACCTCCCAATAGTGCCATTCCGTATGAAGTTAGCATCCAAACTGCCACAGACACACACAAGAGCCTTTCTAAAACATCAACAACTACACAAAGCATCTGCGTGAAGTGTTTTATCCCAAGGCTGTAGGACCCGTACAGCCAAAAACGGCTATGATTGACATGAATTGTTGCTTCTCTTTTTTAATTTAATTGCACAATTCTGGACCACAAGTGCTGTAGACGTCAGCATCACGTTGCAATATCAAAAGGTTGGGCCACCCCCCCCCTGTCCAGGTTCTGGTCCCACACACAAGGTAGACTGTTCTCTTCCCTGGGGGTGGGGAGAGGAGAGAGCTGGGAATGAGCTGAGCCAAGAGGAAAGGGATGTGTGAAGAGTCCCCAGATGGGCACATACTCAGGCCCAAAGGAGACAGGGTCTGGGCAACATTCCGGAAAGTAGATGCTCTTGGTATGGAATGGAGAGGGGGAAGCAGAAAGGAGGCTGAAGCCACACACACAAGCCAAACATCAGTCTGCAAATCCTGCATGGCCTTGCCCGGGAGCAGAGCAAAGATCTCACAGGGGCGTGTGAGCCTTGAGACTTCATCTAGAAGGTACGGTGAAGCCCTACACATAGGTTTGTGTTTGAGACAGGGTCTCGTTGTGTAGCAGCAGCTGTCCTGGAACTGGCTGTGAAAACCAGGCTGGCCTAGAACTGCGGTCTCTACCTCCCTAAGGCCGGGATTACATGTGCACTACCAACCTGTCTCTGCATCCACTTTTGAAACAGACTTGAGGGAGAAAAGTCGGGTGTCGGGGAGCAGATGCTCAGGGCACACGGTTGCTGCTGCTGCCTGTGGACCTCGGTGTGTGACCCCAGCCTCCTGGGTCCGTGGCGGCCTTCATTACCCTTCTGGTCGAATCTTCTCTCCTAGAGCCTTAACCTCTGCCTGACCCTCACATTGGGCCACTGTCTCTCTGGCCTCATCTCATGGCTTTGGTATTACCAGTCAGTTGTGCCAGCACGGGATGGCTAAAGGCCGCTGTCAACTTTTAAGGATGTCACCCACAAGGGGAGGGCTGTGCCACCCTCGGCCAGCTTGCTCTCTCTCTCTCTAGTACTTCGGGGGCTCATTTGGACTAAAGTGCTACCTGAGGTGGTGGCCTTGCTGATGAGGGACTGGGATCCAATGACAGAGGCTGGGCCAAGACACCGCCGTTGCCACCCTGAGCCTCCTGCTGGGTCAGGTCTGGGGATGCATGTCTGAGGCCTGCCTGGAGCTTGCCACACAGCCTGAGACGGGGCATCCTGTGACGTGGCCATCTGGAGCACTGGCCGAAGGCCCTGACTATGCTAACCTGCATTTGTTCCCTTCCTCAGCTGCACTGGCCGAGATCACAGAGATGGTGGCACAGTTGCATGGTACGATGATCAAGATGGAGAACTTCCAGAAGCTCCATGAGCTCAAGAAAGATCTGATTGGCATCGACAATCTTGTGATCCCTGGAAGGGTAAGCTCAGGGTTGGAGTAATGCCAGAGACTGTGTCAGGGCAGGAACTTGTGTGTGTGCGCGCACACGCGCATGGATGCAAGTTTATCTCTGAGGTGCTTCTCGGGTGTAGCTCACCTCAGCTACTTTTGTGTTTTTGAGAGTCTTTTACTAGCCTGGGCCTTACAGAGTAGGCTAAGCTCAGTGGCCACCGAGCCCCAGGGATGCCCATCTCCGCCTTCCCAGCACCAGAATCACAAATGGATAGCAAGCACTTTACCAAGAGATTCCCTAGTCCAGTGGACTCCATATACTTTACATTGTTTGAACATTATAAAACACGCAGTGAATTGCAGTAGCCTGCTGTGGCTTCAGGGTTAGCAATAGTCTCCTGTTGCGGGTGGAACTTCCTGTGAGATGTGGGCCATATCCTCTCTGACAGACCACAAGGTATTAAACGCTCATTTAGTGTGTAGTCCCTGGTTATAGTGTGACCTGAGTCTGACCATTTGGAAAGCGTGTGGCTGCCTTAAGTAAAAACGCTGACAAAGACCAGAATACGCTGAAGTCCCCAGCAAGAAGGCATTGTACATACACACACACACACACACACACACACACACACACACACACACACACACACACACACACACACCAGGGCAGGAGGGCAGGGCATTCTAGGTTAGATACTACCTATGTGGTTCTCCTAATCTGCACAGACAGACAGACGTGTCTCTCTCTCTCGCTGAGGAATATGATTCTTCGTGAGAATGGCAATCTGATCACTAGGGTCAGTGCAGACAGACGGTCTGGACCTTCCTGCCCATTGAAGTACTGTCAGAGTACTCTGAGACCAATGCATCTGGGCTTGCCATGACTAACTGTGGCTAACTGAGCCCAGCCTACCCCACAGCAGTATTCTAACCCTGGACATGGCAGCCAACATCCCAGAACCACAAGGATGTGCCGGGTGCTCTTGGACAAGTTTCTTAGTCATTTTGCTGAACATGGGCATATCACTGAACTTCATGCTCCCGTGTGTCAGACACACGCCACCCGCAAAGGGACCTCATTTACACGTGAGGTGGAGTCACCATGCCCCCCACCACCCTAGTGTAGTTGGCTGAGTATGGGAAGGGGGGGAGAACTCGGAGATTGACCTGCCTCTGCCTCCCAAATGATGGAATTAAGGCATGTGCTGCCGTGCCCAGACTAAGATGGGAGTCTTGCCAGGCTGGTCCCCAACTCCTAGGCTTCTGACCCTCCTGCCTCTGCCCCTGAAATATCTGGAATTACAGCCAAACACACTAGCTTAAGATGATGGGGCATGTCCTGCTGTGGATATGTTTCTCTTACTGGGTGATGAATAAAACACTATGCCCAATAGAGGCAGGGAGAGGAGGAGAATTCTGGGAAAAGTAAGCCAGAAAGAGTCGCCATGTAAGGACCCAGAAGAGAGGACACACCAGCCATTCTCTGGTAAGAGAAGACCACATGGCAACACATAGATTAAGACGGAGCTAGCCAAGCCCTAGTCATCGGCCAACGTTTAATAACAGCATCCGTGCTTATTTGGGGCTAGAACCGCTGGGGGCCAAGATGGGTAAGAGAGACATAAAATCTACCACTCGTAACCAGTGATGTCTGTAGTGGTCATGGGGCAGGGTTCATGGTGAGAAGGCCAGCAGCATCCAGGCACCGGTGCAGGTTCCCACACGATCGGTAAACCGAGGCCCTGTCTGTTCCACAGGAGTTCATCCGCCTGGGCAGCCTCAGCAAGCTCTCCGGGAAGGGACTCCAGCAGCGAATGTTCTTTCTGGTGAGTGGGACAAGCCGTCTGTCCACGCACGCCCTTTGGGGGACTGAGAGGTAAGAAGGGACCCGTCAGCCCACACACTCTGCTTGTCCCTCCAGTTCAACGATGTCCTGGTGTACACCAGCCGGGGGCTGACGGCATCCAATCAGTTTAAAGTCCACGGCCAGCTCCCGCTCTATGGCATGACGGTAAGTATCCAGCGCCAGCAGATACTTCCGTGTCCTTTGACGAGGAGGAGCCTGGAAACACTACCGCTGCTGCACGGAGGCCACAGGATGGCCTTTCTAGAATCCAGGGCAAGTTCACTTGAGCCGTTGGGCCCCTCCTCAGAAGGTGGGGAGGAGGAATTGATGAGGCAGCATGATCCCTGACCTCCCCTGACTGTAGGAATGGGCCCCTGAGTCCCGCTATGGTTTCTGCCTTTACCGTCTGGTATTAAGTTTGGCGAGCGTCTACGGATGCACCAAGTGCTTGCCGCTCAGCACTGACTTGAACTCTTCCACAGATCGAGGAGAGTGAAGAGGAATGGGGTGTGCCTCACTGCCTGACCCTGCGGGGCCAGCGCCAGTCCATCATCGTGGCCGCCAGGTAACCCCCGAACCCGACTCTTACTGGTTTACCTTTGACCTTCCATGGTGTGAAACACTGACGTCATCTCTGTCACCAGTTCCCGGCCAGAGATGGAAAAGTGGATGGAAGACATCCAGATGGCCATTGACCTGGCAGAGAAAACCAACGGGCCCGCCCCTGAGCTCCTGGCCAGCAGTCCCCCGGAGAACAGTGAGTATTGTGCGAGTGCCCAAGGCCAGGGCCAGCAGGAGTGTCCACAGCTTCAGGGAGGGAGAGATCACACGTGGAGGGGGGCGTGGCGGGGGCAGCCCCCACCCTCCAGCATGATGGGAGAGCTTGCATAGGAGGAATGGTACCAGTGTAGCCTTTGGTGGCTTCCTGCAGAGTCCCCAGATGAGGCCACAGGGGCCGACCAGGAGTCGGAGGATGATCTGAGTGCTTCGAGAACCTCGCTGGAGCGCCAGGCCCCGCACCGCGGCAACACGCTGGCGCACGTGTGCTGGCACCGCAACACCAGTGTGTGCATGGTGGATTTCAGCATCGCCGTGGAGGTAGGTGGGAGCAGGGGCGGGCGGCCTCTGGCGGGTGTCCGGAGCTCACCGAGGATGCGCTGAGCCTGGCCTGGCTGCGGTGTGAGCATCCGGAGCTGTGCCCAGCTCCACCCCTTTGAAAATGCAGGGACCGGGCTGTCATTTCCTGCCCGTGAGCCCTGCAATCGTCCTTTGCTCTCCACGTTTCCTCTTACTTCAGGGAATCAGTGGGGAAGGGTTTGCACACCTATCGACGGATGTGGCCTGTGACGGGTCCCTGGAAATTAGGTGTGTCAGGGGACAGCCAGGTCTGAAAGTGGATGAGGGGGTGCGAGCAGGTCACAGGTCAAGGAGGCCCTCTGGATGGGCTGTGACTCATGCCTGAATCGCTGCTTTGAAGGTGAGCCTTTCACTCAAAGCTTCTAGATTTTTCCAAATCCCATTGCAAAGCAGCCCCCGCATAGCCTGGGAACAGCAAAGCTGTTTCCTGTCATTACCAACAGCACCTTCCACCTGTGCGAGGCTCTAGTCCCCTCTAGGCATGGCGTCCGCTCGCTCGTGTCTTCATCTTCAGTGACTCAGGAGGGGTAACTTCTACCGGAAAGTCTGCACTCTTTAAAATGTACCCCGCGCTAACTCCTGACTTGCCTGGGCCATATAAAGGGAGCCAAGGACGGTGGCAGCTTGCTGGTCCTTTGATCTAAAGGGAAGGGAAACAGGCCACAATTTCTTAAGCTAAAAACCTAAGGCCCCTGCTCTCCCACACCTTTCCTGTCCTCGTGAGTGTGGTAGCCTTGGTGACCAGCGGTCACATTTCCAACTCCCTGCCTAATGAGAGGCTGCTGGCTTAACTTCCCTTGGCCTCACTTCTTAGATACCTTCCCAATCGGATCCTTCACTTCTAAACTTCCACCTCTCCACATCCTGGCGATACCTGGGCTATTCGAGGGGCAAAAACCAGTGCTGGGGTACAGAGGCACAGGCTCCGCCCCAGGCTCTTACCTGTGTGGTCAGGGGTGTGCAGAATACTATCAGCCTGTTTACAGCCCAGTTTGATACAATCCCAGGCCCTGGAGCGGGGGGGGGGGGGGGGACGGTAGACCTGAACCTGTAGTAGAGGCTGGGGTTGGAGGACAGTAATATCCGTCATCCCTGAATGACAATGTTAGGCTGCCCGCCTCACGACATGACAAGACTCGCTACTGCCCGAAGCTCCAGCTTCCCTTCCATGCAGGTGGTGGCTCCCAGGTGGATGGATGGCTGAAGGTCTCCGTGGTGTGGTGTGGGCAGAGCCCCTTCTCTCACCAGAGTCCTCTTCCATCAGAGTAGCTGAAGCACAGAACTTCTCAGTGTCTCCATGCCAGTTTCTATCCTCTGGGGTCTTAAGTGTGGCGGTGTTCAGGTTATCATAGGCCTGTGAGTGCAGTGCCCAGGGAAGCCAAGAGGGTGTCAAGCCCCCTGAAACTGGAGTTACTCGGGCCATTGTGTGCTGCCTGATGTGGGAACCCAACTCAGGTCCTCTGTAAGGACAGGCTGTGCTCCGAGCTGCCGATCTCTCTGCAGCCCGGTTATGTTATTTAACTGTGCAGTAATAGACACAAATCTGCCCACCTAACCGTTCCCGTTGCACTGTGGGGGTCCTGTTAATTACACTCCAACTTCTCAGTGCCCGCTGCTAATGTCCTCTTGACGGGGGGTGGAAGGTTGGCCCAGATGGTCCTCTTTGCTGCCTTTGGGAGCTGGTGACAATGTCTGCTGCAAGATTGCCCTGTTGAATTCTTACAGGAAATGGAGGATGTAAGGGTGTCGTGAAGCAGGGGCTGGGAGTGGCTTCTCCACCATCCCACTAGGTGGCAGCATAGAGCTGTTCAGGAGGGCCACCTTCAGTCCTGCCTCCCAGAGAACAGAATCCCTGTGGCTTGGAACTGACCGCCTGCTCTGTGAAAAGCCATCCAAGTCCCAGCCTCTGTGACTCTCTTGCCTTTTCCAGCTCACTGGCTGGCCAGCCCTGGTATTCTGACTCCCTGTAACCTCTGTTTCTGCTCTTGCATGGTGTCCCCAAATCGCTTCTGCAGGACACCACACCTAGGACTGAGGGTCCTTCTTAACTAATTACAATACCTGCAACCACCACCACACCTAACAAAGTCACATTCAAGGGTGACCAGAGCAGGAACTCAACACCTGTGACCGGTGACAAGAATCCAACCCGATGAACTCTCTATGCAATGCTACGCTCTCAGTACCCACCCCCACCCACGGAGGCTGCCTGGAGATAACCTGCCTATCTCCTGATGTCCCCCCTTTCAGAACCAGCTGTCGGGGAACCTGCTGAGGAAATTCAAGAACAGCAATGGGTGGCAGAAGCTCTGGGTAGTGTTCACCAACTTCTGTCTGTTCTTCTACAAGTCACACCAGGTAAGTGCCCCCTGAGTCACAGGCAGAGGGAAGTGTGCACCTCCAGGGTCAGCCATGTCCACCAGGGACCTTCCTTCCTCACTGCTGCTCAGAAAGGGGGGAGGCGAGTTTGCTTCCTCTGCCTACGGAATTAAAAGGCAGGAAAGAAGTGTAAGCAGGGGTCCAGTGAGCTCCTCTCCGTGTTCTTGAATTTAAGAGGAGACACACGCAAACAGATGCCCGGGAACAAAGAACCCAAGTGGGAATTTAACAGATTATACCCTCTCAAAGGAAGATAGCAGGGCAGGCAAGCCATCAACCACACAGCTTCTGGGAGAATGGAGGCCAGCCCCACAGTCTGGGAGGGGAAAGGAGCAAGGAAGCCCAAAGCCGTGGTAGGGAGTTTAAGACCAGCACCCCAAAGTATAAGGCTGATGAGAAAACAGTTTGCTTTTCTGAGTCAGGACTCAGGAAGACGGACCGCATGGTGGTCAGGGCACTGTACTCTGGGCAGACGCTGGCAAAGAAAAGTGTGCACACGTCATCTTTAGGAAAACACACCTTCCTTGGGGTAGCTCCTAACCAGGGGCCTGACTTGTGCCCTTCAGAGAGAAGACAAGAACATGTCTCCTCCTCGAGGGAGACTCTACCCCTTACAGATCCATTAATGGACGGGACATACCATGTTGGCCAACGCTGGCCTCCTCTGACTTACTCCTGAGCTGGAACCCTCGGTCAGGGCAGCAGCAGCGCTGACCTCTTCCTCAAAGCCGCCTCCTCTGTGCCCTCTTTAGGACAGTCACCCCCTCGCCAGCCTGCCCCTGCTGGGCTACTCACTCACCATTCCGTCCGAGTCTGAGAACGTTCACAAGGACTACGTCTTCAAGCTGCATTTCAAGGCCCATGTGTACTACTTCAGGGCTGAGAGCGAATACACGTTTGAGAGGTAGGTGCCCGCCTGCAGGGCAGCGGCGTCGCTAGGGAGGAGTTCCATGTGTGCTGAAGGCTCGCTCCATCTTCCTGCCCCACAGTGTGGCGTCACAGAGGCGGATGCGGTCCCAACCCGTAGTTAGTGACGTAGGTCCTTACCGGGCACGGCGAGCACACGCCAACACTGGGCTGGGTCCGCTACCGTGTGCCCCTTAGACCAGGAAGCTGCAGCAGATCCGCATACAGGGAAGGGGGCTCTCAGGCAAGCCCAATGACGCCAAAGGACCGCGCCCAGAAAGTGAGCTGAGCCTCTGGGTGGAAGAGCCACCTGCACCGGGCTTCATCTAGGCAGGCGCAGGCGGCCAGATTACTGCGTACTCCACAGCGCCACCAGGTATCCAAGGTGACTGGACTATTGGTCATCTACGTGCCGTTTCCCACCTCGGGAGCACGTTCTCTTCTGGCACCAAGCTTTTCTACATCAACAAGCGGTCCCCTAGGAAACGCCCACCAAGGCCAGTCAAACAGCACCTAAGCTGAGTCGCTTGCAAATGAGCCCAGAAAGTTTATCAGTTCTCAGTGTAGACCCTCAACTGCAAAGGCCCAAGGCATGTAGCCTTGGGAGTAGAGTATTCTGAGCATATCCCTGACCCCTGGGAGCTGGTGCCAGTAACACCCTCAACTGAGCCAACTAGCACTATGCTGACTTGGTGTGTCCCAGAGACAGGGCTCCCTCCCCCTATTTATCGCAAGTGTACAAAATGACGGCCCCATTAAGTGGGGCAGGATGGTCTTTGACTGCCTAACGTGAAGTGAGTGACTGTGTCTCCACGGGAACCCTTGCTGAGCTCTGGCCTTCCATTGTCTTTGGAAGTAATAATCATCAAATTAGTGGTGGCATGTAGAGTCACCCGAGGTACTTTATGTCCTCTCTGTTGTTTTAGGTGGATGGAAGTCATCCGAAGTGCCACCAGCTCGGCTTCCCGAGCCCACATTTTGAGTCACAAAGAATCTCACCTGTATTGATGGCTGGACACATCCCTTCCAGCCATAGCTGCTTTCTTGGAGGAAATAATGAAAGCTAGCAGCATCCACACCTGTCTGAACACACTGAGGATCAGCAGAGGCTCTCACCCACCTCCCTCCACAGGACAGTATCTCCAAACCTTGTACTAATCTCTCCTTGGAACAGCCTTTCCCCTCCAGGCAAAGGGGCAGGAGGGCTTGACTTGCCATTCCCGCGGGGTCACTTTAGCTTGTGCCAGTATTGAGACATCGTCATCAGGAGTGCCAAATGACAGTCTACCCCGCAAGCGCGCCCCAGCGCAGGGCCCGCGCATCCCTTCACCTGAAGACACAAGTGCGCTTCTTTTCTTAGGAAGAAATGTGTTCCTTTCGCCCGCAGACCGCTGTTTCCCAAGATGGGTCTCTCCAGTGACTACAACACATAGCGCAGTCTTAAGCAAATGAGATCGTTCTCGGATTTTGTTTTTTTTTTCCAAGTCTTTCTACTTTTATAATAATAGGGCACTCATAGGACTCACTTCCCCTGACTAATAAGCAATTTGTGGCGCACTCCATTCCACTGAGACCCTGGTTTTTTTTTTTTTCCCCTTGGTGGAAGCTGACCAGATTGTTTGCGATTCTTATTTACAAACTGTAGCGGGGTTGTTTTTCCTGTTAAGAGAAGCAGATATCCAGTGCAATACCCGGGCGTCACCGGCACGTGCGTGGCGTGTACACTGGGGGCTCTTAGGCTGTGATGTTTTGCTGTCTGTTTCACAAGCATGAGAAGCTGTATGTCGTTGACCGGGACCGTTTGTGCTGTTAGGTTATGCGGTGTCAGGGGCACTGTGGTGACGGTACGTAGTCCCAGCCCCGCTGACGGGACCCCACTCCTCCAGCGTCATGGTTTGAACCTGCACATTCTCCAGTAGTATCTATCGTGCCTGTCTTCAAGTCTTTTCTCCTCTTATACTCATTCCTTCTGGGCATGGGGTACACATGGGCGACAGCCCACATCCTGTAGATTCCTCTGGGGACTGGCTGCCAAACACTACCTGAGCCTCCCAGTGGAAGAACGTTTGCCTGTTCTCTAGGGTGACTGGGTGGCTGCCATTCCCTTCATGCATAGAGCCTTCTAGAATGCAAGATGGCCACATCAGCACAGTCTTCTCCCAGTGCCCTACATCCCAGCAAGAAACAGACCCACCAATGTCAAGGGGCTGTGGCTGGTGTCCACGACCCACTGAGGGATGAGAAGTGAGATGTGTTAATCATTTGCCTTACAATGTACCAGATGGTTCTAAGTACTAACAAAAGGGAATAAAAATACCTCACGCCACAATCCAGCACACGGAAGTCTGAAGGCCAAACCACCACCTGCGTCTTGTCTTTCTGTGGTGGGCTGGGGGCGGTACTGTGGGGGGGGGGCGCGACACCCAGGCATGGTACCCAGGAAATACAACACTCTGGCACATTGATGAGCAAAGGCTTGGCCAGGAAACACCCAAGTGAGGGGGGAGGGGTTGAAAGGTTTTCACCGCCCACAGCCACTGCTGTGACTCAACCGGGGGACCCCATCACCAGATGCCCACAGTGTTGGTGGTGTGACTCATCCGGGGGACCCCATCACCAGATGCCCAGTGCTGGGGACAGGCCCCGTCGATGTTACCACGTTCCTGAAGGGCTGGAGACAAGATGACTTTCTTCAGCAGTGTGAGTCCAGACCGCCGGCTGGACATGTGGCTCCCATGTGACTGGCACTTCTGACCCCCACACAGCTGCAGAGTGGTAGAAGGAAGAGTCTCACAGCCCCCACCCACCCCCATACACAACAGACAGTCCTGAGAGCTTTATTGGCCTTTAATGACAGCATGGGCATTAGGACTCGCGCTAGAGTCTTTCTGCCTCCATCGCCGCACTTTACAGCAGAGACACAAACCAGGTTTTATAAGAAATATAATGCGTATAAAACTGATACAGGTTTTGCCCAAGAAAAGCATAAAACACTACACAGAGAACAAAGCAGGAACCTTGCTGAGCAACTCAAGAACAGAACAGTGGGCCTCTCCTGTGAAGAACCCCAGCTGCTAGGAACCACAATCTCCCACATTGAACGGTGCCCACTCACACAGGGGTCAGCTCTGAGAAAAAGCAACAACCGGGGAAGGCCATCGTAAGCCGACGCCAGGCACAAGCCTGTAATCCCGGCACTCAGAAGGCCAAGGCAGGAGGGCCCCGAGTTCCTGGCCACCATGAGCTAACCCAATGACAGCCGGTCCCACGACTCTGACCTGCCTGCCTCGCACACTACATGGCACACATTTTCCCCGACCGGAGGCATCGTCACCATCGGAGGCTTTCCCTGTGAACTGTGAACGGCTCGCGTGTGGCACCGAGGGACTTCTGGGTGACGCTGTGAGGCACCATTGACAGTTCTGAGACTGGCGCTGCTCCAAATGGAGGACTAGACGGACACATGGACGCCAGCCAGACGATGCACCCACAGACCATCTCACCGACTCTGAGCAGGTCGCTATAAGCTGTCTCTCTCTCTCTCACACACACACACACACCCAGTCACTATAAGCTGTCACACACACACACACACACACACACACACACACACCCAGTGAAGTTTCTAAAAACCTCTCAAAGGGTCAGGTGCTGTTTCACAAGGAGACACCGCCTGGGAATCCCGTGACTGCAGAGGGCTCACCTGTAGTCTCACAGAAAGCATATGTGTAACCAGGATTTAGTACTCTCAATGGCTCAGCCACACTGGCTAGTATGGCAGGGAACCCCCGGAAAGCACTGACCCAGCACTCACGGCATCCTGGGTTCAAGTCCCAGGATGAGAAACAAGAAAAAAACAAAACAAAAACAGATGGGCTTCACTATCAAAAGACCCGTCACTATCCATTTGTAAAACCGAAGAGCGCTACCCGCTAGAAATGCCAGCCGCCCTCCGGGACCCTCTTCAAGTCGGACACAGCAGGCTCCAGAGCGCACGCGTCTCCGCATGAGTCCTGCAACAGCCTTTGGTCACTGCATCAGGCCTGACTCAGGGACACAGCACTCCAGTGCAGAGCACTCTAGAAAACACAAAACATCCTCAAACTTCACTGATCGAGGGGACACTAGCTCTAAGATAACAGCACGAGGCCAAAGCCATGGCTCAGCCGACAAAGCACTGCCTGCTCTCGCACAGGACCTGGATCCAGTTCCCAGCACCCACACGGCAGCTCACAGCTACCTGTAACTGCAGTCCCAAGGGATCCAACTCCCTCTTCTGGCCTGCACACATGTGATGCACAGACATGCAGACTCAAAAACAAAAAAAAAAAAAAAACAAAAACAGTAACAACCGTGGCTCTATTTCCCCAGCCAAAATGTATCCTTGGTTGAAATTATTCATCCAAGCCAAATCTACTTCTAGTAGACTATCACGATTTAATAGTCTAAAAACCCAGACCCCATTTAATCTAAGCAGTCATCTCACAGCCCACACCCCTGGCCTTGGGCTACCCTTGCTGTAACATCGAGGCGACCACACACCCCGCAAGGCCAAGCAGACATCCCCAAGTTCCTGGTCCAAAACTATCTTCCCTGAGACCCAGCACTCCAACAAGAGGACATAATTAGCAACAAAAACACTACAGAGCTCTGAGGAAGACTTGCAAGAGCTGCCCTGAGAACCCGAGAAGTCCCATCCTGCCAAGCAGAGCTTTGTAGTACATGAACAAACAGGTAGCCTGGCTGACAGCATCAGACCACAGCCCCGTGAAGAGCGCTGAAGCCGCCCTCCAAGTCCTCAGCAAGAGCTTCAGCAGCCCCACAAGCCCGCAGCGGCCACACCCCAGTGGTCAACCTCACAGCTGCATGGGACAGCAACCTGGACATTTGGCTTTGTGACATCTGAGTGCTTTCCCCGAGTCTCCACACGCACACGCTTACACAACCATGCGCGTGTGCAGAGCAGGTGGCCCACCCACTCTGCAGAGCCACGTTTTAAGAATAGTATGCAAAATGAGTGAGTTATAAAATTTATTTGTGTAAGCATTCAGACAGGTGGGAAAGATGATATGCAGATTCTACGACCAGGGTCAACCGAATGGCGTCGACGAGACGGTACATCTGGTGCAGACACAACGGCACAAACTCAACAATGACCAGGTGAGGGCGTTTCCGTGGGGAAGAACTTAAGGAATAATTTAAAGCTCTGTGGGATGACATATGTTCCAACTGAAAACACTAAGAAACAGTACCATCAATGAGAAAGAGAGCTCCAAGTGTACCAAAGGGGGTTGTAAGGAAACGAGGGGACTTTGCATCTGCTGAGGTACAAACAGGAGTATCCATGGGGCGGGGGGGGGGTAATTATTATTCGTGACAGACCCTGTAAATACAAAATAAAATCCAAATCACTGGTCACGGAGTTCAAAATTTACATGTAATATAAAGGCAAGGCGAAAGACTCAAGTTCTGGCCTGTCAAATATTTACTCCACGGAGAGAGATTATCTACAGAAGCACTTGGCCGATGTGTACACAGTGATTCCTTATGCACGCCAAAAGTTTCCGTAAAAATGACGCTATATACAAATCTGTACATGATCCACCAGAGCGGCTCCGTCCCCCGGGCAGGAGCTACCACCATAAAGCAGGGTGTACCTGAGGTCGCGTGTCTTCAACCGCCTTGTCACAACCCAAACATACACTTCAGGGTTTGTGTTAAAGATACTTTCTTTGAATATGTGCACTATGATTAAAATTAAAAACCATAAAAAAATAAAATAATTGCTTGAAGGAGTAGACCCCCACCCACCCATCTGAAAGACCCCAGTGGCTGCGGCACAAGGAGGACCGTGTCCTGGACAGGTGCCGGCAGCGACAGGTGCCGGCGGCGACAGGAGGGTGGGGTCCCTCCGTCACACCTCTTCACAGAGTCAGCAAAGACTCTCGTTGACTTTTAACAAGAAGGAAGATGAAGAAGAAAGGAAAAACCAAACCCAAATGCCAAAGGCATCTCAGTGAGCTGAAGTTCCTCCACCACTCAGGGAGAATCTAAGGAGAGAGCAGAGAGAGAAATCAGTACACATTGTTGCTGACACCCGGGCAAAACTTGACATTCTTTACAGAAACTTCAAAGTCTTTACAAAATGAAAAACACCAGAGGAATAAGAACCAGCGGTTGACAGATCTACTTTGTAATGACAAAGAAAATTCTGGTTCTAACACAAAAACTCATAGCTGATAAAAGGCAAGCCTAACCTAAGTTCTGCCTCCCTGGAGAAGGGTACCATTAAAACAGCAAATGACACCTAGGATCACCTTGCTCTGTGTGTGTGTGTGTGTGTGTGTGTGTGTGTGTGTGTAGATGCATGAGTCTGCACTTTGCTGTGTGGGTATACACAACCACGCAGGCTCCTATGGAGCCAGAGACTGACTCCTCTGGGGTCTTTCTCTAGTGTTTTATTTTTCCAGGCAGCATCTCCTACTGGGCTGGAGCTTGCTATTCTGGCTAGGCTGGCTGGCCAGCAGGCCTCCAGACTGTTCCTGTGTCTCTGGCCAACACCCCTCTCTTATGCTGGGACACGAAGCCTTTGTATGGTGTTGGGCCTACACCCGGGGCCTTCTGCATAGCAAGCACCTTGCCCACACTGAGTCCTCTTCAGCCCAAGATCTATTGAAAACTGGTGGAAACCAAGGGTCCAGAGCTCAGGGACACATACCCATGGTTAGTTTGAGTCTACGCTCAGCAATTCTTTGGGGCAGCAATAAATGGAAGCAGGCGAGGCAAGCCACTTCCTAGCAGTATTCCAAGATGTGGCCCAAAGAGGAACTGTGTGTCCGCATGAACACTTTGCATATGACATCAGAAGGCAATATATTAAAAAGACAGGACAGATGGTAATAACTGGTCACAACCATAAGGCCCATGCCACCTGTTTCCCCCAAAACAAACAAATCAGCACAAATAAATAGTCTGCGTCACCTGGCTTTCGAAAGCTAAGTGGTGTAAGCACCATGGCCACGATTATTTCAGTCACTCCAAACGGGCATCAAAGCACAGGGCCAGGAAGATGGCCAAGGACATATTTAAGGAACCTCACTGCAAACATGGCTCCCAGAGTCCCCTTTAAACACACTGAGCACACCCAAAGGAGTCCACAGAAACTCTCAGCAGCTCACTTGAGCCACAGCATCTAAGATGTAAACGTCAAGAGCTACGAATGACTCGTCATGGGTTGGGTTGCTCCCTCTATGAGCAGATGCACCGAAGGATGGATGCAGATGCACCGAAGGATGGATGCAGAAGTCCTGAGAACACTGTAGACAACAGTCACTCTTGAAGAGACCATCCCAAACAACTC